TGTGGCTATATGTTAAAATATATCTTTCTCCAAATAGGTCCTCTATGTATCCTACGCTGGGCCACAAAACGAGTCGTATCCGTTTTCCTCCCAAAAGACGGAGCTCCATTCCAGGTATTAACGAGGCGTGTTCGAGACAGACGGAGTCCTACAAGAAGCCATCGTCATCCCTCGACCTGTCAATTGACAACAAGGACTCTGAATATGACAGCCAAGGCAGGAGCTAAGCCGTTAAGGATATACAATAGGTTTAAGGATATACGCGTCCATTAATTTATATTGTAGATACAAATGTTTTCCACTTGTTAGTTATTTATACTAAGCTAGGTTATAATGAATAAAACTATTGAAAAATCATCCTTGCTGTTTTTTGTATCGGGGAAATCGGGATGATTACAAAAAGGTGGATCACGCCCAGATCGGTTCACAATTAACGAAGAAAACTAAATATTTTCGATTGGGGAAAATGTCCTTGATCCTTAACAAGGACTCCATCAAATCAGGGACATTTCTTTGGATCCCAGTAAGCCATCGCACGCCCAGATAGGCCCACAAATAGCCGAGAAAATTAGACTTGTATGGTTGGGGCTGTAACAATCCTTACCGAAGGATCAATGAGATTTTTTGATCACGACCGGCCATAACACGCCCCACTACTAAGGGAGAAAACAAGATATACATGTCTGGAAAAAATATCCTTTATCCTTGGTCCTTGATATGGACTGCCTTAGATCAAGGATGTTGTTCCGAACACAGGAAGCCATCGCACGTCCCGATCGGACAAGAAATGGCGGTTTTATGCCATGAACAACAAATTACAACAACAACATCCATTTATTACAACAACAACCACTCTCCATTTGGGAGGCACTCAAAACCGAGTTTTTTCGATTTTCAGATCTGGGATACCAGGCGAACAGAAATCAGCAGAAGGTGGCTGGTTTTTAAAAATTTAATTTAAAGAAAATTTAAAGAAAATATGAAAAAAACGTTAAAGAAAATTAAAAGAATTTAAAAAAAAACCAGCGACCTTCTACTGATTTCTGTTCGCCTGGTATCCCAGATCTGAAAATCGAAAAAACTCGGTTTTGAGTGCCCCCAAATGGAGAGTGGTTGTTGTTGTAATAAATGGATGTTGTTGTTGTAATTTGTTGTTCATGGCATAAAACCGCCATTTCTTGTCCGATCGGGACGTGCGATGGCTTCCTGTGTTCGGAACAACATCCTTGATCTAAGGCAGTCCATATCAAGGACCAAGGATAAAGGATATTTTTTCCAGACATGTATATCTTGTTTTCTCCCTTAGTAGTGGGGCGTGTTATGGCCGGTCGTGATCAAAAAATCTCATTGATCCTTCGGTAAGGATTGTTACAGCCCCAACCATACAAGTCTAATTTTCTCGGCTATTTGTGGGCCTATCTGGGCGTGCGATGGCTTACTGGGATCCAAAGAAATGTCCCTGATTTGATGGAGTCCTTGTTAAGGATCAAGGACATTTTCCCCAATCGAAAATATTTAGTTTTCTTCGTTAATTGTGAACCGATCTGGGCGTGATCCACCTTTTTGTAATCATCCCGATTTCCCCGATACAAAAAACAGCAAGGATGATTTTTCAATAGTTTTATTCATTATAACCTAGCTTAGTATAAATAACTAACAAGTGGAAAACATTTGTATCTACAATATAAATTAATGGACGCGTATATCCTTAAACCTATTGTATATCCTTAACGGCTTAGCTCCTGCCTTGGCTGTCATATTCAGAGTCCTTGTTGTCAATTGACAGGTCGAGGGATGACGATGGCTTCTTGTAGGACTCCGTCTGTCTCGAACACGCCTCGTTAATACCTGGAATGGAGCTCCGTCTTTTGGGAGGAAAACGGATACGACTCGTTTTGTGGCCCAGCGTAGGATACATAGAGGACCTATTTGGAGAAAGATATATTTTAACATATAGCCACACTTATATACTGGGCGTTCCTTTGGGCGTGAAATAACAATTCCGCCGTCGATCTCTGGTCGCTGCTGCAGCGGAAGGAAGACCACATTGTCGACTCAGCGATATAGCAGTGGAATCATGGCTGTGTCCCGCCGCAGGACAGCCAGTGGCTGCAAGAGATATAGCTTGCAGAAAAAACCAGTACTTGCATGATGTGCAAATCCAAATCTTCCGAAGGCTATATCTCAGCTAAATACGGCCAGATCGGTGAAGGACCTACCTTCCCAGGATCGTGGGGATCCAGACCGTCGATCGGCATCAAAATCTCGAGTACGAAAATGATGCCGGTTTTTCGGCAAATTTAATGATGTAACCATCATGATATTTTGCGAAAATCGTGATGGAATGGATGTCCTTTTTTCTGGTGCCAATCGGTTGGCAGGACTCTCCCGGTCACGAAATGACATGCCACGCCCCGATCGGCTGCCGTATTGCAGAGATATAGCTTGCAGAAAAAACCAGTATTTGCATAATGTGCAAATCCAAATCTTCCAAAGGCTATATCTCAGCTAAATACGGCCAGATCGGCGAAGGACCTACCTTACAAGGACCGTGGGGATCCAGACCGTCGATCGGCATCAAAATCTCGAGTACGAAAATGATGCCGATTTTTTGAAAATTTAATGATGTAACCATCATGATATTTTGCGAAAATCGTGATGGAATGGATGTCCTTTTCTCTGGTGCCAATCGGTTGGCAGGACTCTCCCGGTCATGAAATGACATGCCACGCCCCGACCGGCTGCCGTATTGCAGAGATATAGCTTGAAGAAAAAACCAGTATTTGCATAATGTGCAAATCCAAATCTTCCGAAGGCTATATCTTAGCTAAATACGGCCAGATCGGTGAAGGACCTACCTTCCCAGGATCGTGGGGATCCAGACCGTCGATCGGCATCAAAATCTCGACTAAGAAAATGAGGCCGATTTTTGGCAAATTTAATGATGTAACCATCATGATATTTTGCGAAAATCGTGATGGAATGGATGTCCTTTTCTCTGGTGCCAATCGGTTGGCAGAACTCTCCCGGTCACGAAATGACATGCCACGCCCCGATCGGCTGCCGTATTGCAGAGATATAGCTTGCAGAAAAAACCAGTATTTGCATGATGTGCAAATCCAAATCTTCCGAAGGCTATATCTTAGCTAAATACGGCCAGATCGGTGAAGGACCTACCTTCCCAGGATCGTGGGGATCCAGACCGTCGATCGGCATCAAAATCTCGAGTAAGAAAATGATGCCGATTTTTTGAAAATTTAATGATGTAACCATCATGATATTTTGCGAAAATCGTGATGGAATGGATGTCCTTTTCTCTGGTGCCAATCGGTTGGCAGAACTCTCCCGGTCACGAAATGACATGCCACGCCCCGATCGGCTGCCGTATTGCAGAGATATAGCTTGCAGAAAAAACCAGTATTTGCATGATGTGCAAATCCAAATCTTCCGAAGGCTATATCTCAGCTAAATACGGCCAGATCGGTGAAGGACCTACCTTCCCAGGATCGTGGGGATCCAGACCGTCGATCGGCATCAAAATCTCGAGTACGAAAATGATGCCGATTTTTGGCAAATTTAATGATGTAACCATCATGTCTTTTTATGAGCACGAAAGTGCTCCCAAAAGAAGCACCCGTTGTTTTAAAAGGTATATTTAAAAACAAACGGTATAGAAACTTCTATACACAGGTTTTTTAATTTTCGCTCTCATATCGTACTTCAGTGCATCATTTATTCCACTGGATTACATTTAAATCCTTGTCGCTCATTCACTTTCAAACAATTTCTATTTGGCGCTAAAGTTTGGTGGGGACTCTCTTTGTTTCGGGATTTTCTCTCTATTTCGTGATGGGATATCCTTTCTTCGTGGAGGGATTTTACCTCGCCACAATGTCCATTTTCAGCTCAAAAATGTCCCTACATTCCATACTCACTTACGACCTTTTTTGTTTAAACCTTGTTTTAGACACAATTAAATAAAAAGGAGTACTTAAAAGTAGCTAATCTTGTAGAAAATTGATTCAGCAATTATATAAAATTATCTCGACAAAACTGAGAGATCTATATAGCTGGGAATATTCGACGGAAGAAGGAACAACCAAGAGTTAGTCGTCATAACCGGTTGACAACAATGAGTCTCATTCCATGCACACATACCCTGGGGGAAATGGATGTTATAGAATTGTGAATATGTTTGTCATCCCAGGCAAAAACAATTTATTTTCAATATATTTTAATATTATTCAATATTATTTAATATTATTTTCAATATTTCAACGATTTTTCTTCTTGCAGAGACCAAGAATAGGTATCAGGATCGAGATCATATACTCATCACTCATCATATACATGAATATGTCTAAAAAATGTCAATTTGAGAAAAGGTCTTTATTAGTTACGTTTTATCTTCATATCAATATTTATACTTTCATATACAATTAACAAAATAGGGTATACAAGCATATACTACGGCTTACACGCAATATAGCGACTCTTTTTTTGTTCAACTTTTTCGTTTAAACCTTTTTTTACCACAAATACAATTAAAGCAAGGATTAAAAACTATCCAATCTTGTAGACAATGTATTCATCAATGGGATAAAACTATGTGGGCATTGCTGAGAGATTTAGTTAGTCAGCATTATTCAATGGAATATCAAAATTGAGCAATTTCCTTTTTCGTTTGTTTTGATTGACCTATTTCGCTAAAACCTTTTTTTACGCAAAATACAATAAAAGCAAGTATTAAGAATACACCAGTTAAAAATAAAACTGATTCATCAATCGTATAAAGTTATGATGGCATGGCTAAATGTTCTATATAGCTAGTAATATTCGACGGAATATCAAAAACGAGGAATATGTATAACAGAACTTGACTTCGTCAGTATATTTACGGTATATTTTTCAAATGAGACAGTATAATTAGGTATATTTCTGAGGGTCGGACGGTATATTGTATCGATAAGTCCGCTAGCCACTTAGTTTTTAGTTATTAACTATATTAATTTAAATAAAGCACAACAACAATTCCTTAAGTTGAATTGCCCGTCGGGGAGCACAAACATGGATGGACGAAAACTGCTGCAACCTGTCAGGGCAACCAATCCTATTGTCTTCATGGACATTGACATTGGCCTGGAAGATGGTGAGCTGATATTGGATATTGGGCCGCAGATGCAGGACATCTCATCTCCATGCCAACCTCATTTTTTCGTATGTCACAGCGGGACGCATGGTAATTGAGCTGCGCAAGGATGTTGTGCCAAAGACAGCGGAAAATTTCCGCGCTCTGTGTACGGGCGAGTGCGGCATCGGGCAGCTGGGACAGCCTTTGCACTACAAGGGGAATCGCTTTCACAGAATTAAACGGGTGTTCGCTGCGCAAAGCGGGGATGTGGTGAAGAACGATGGCACCAGCGGCGAGAGCATCTATGGGCCCGTATTCGAGGACGAAAACTTTCAGCTGACGGTGAGTGAACAATGAATTCGAAGAGAATCTTAGGCCCACTAATGATGTAACGTTGAATCTCCGGTCGCAGCACAACGAGGAGGGGGTGGTGAGCATGGCCAACTATGGCTCCCCAAACACCAACAACTCACAGTTCTTCGTGACGGCCGTGGGATGCGAGAATCTAAACGGTATCAATGTAGTTGTGGGTCGCGTTCTGCGCGGTCTGGGCATTGTAGCCGAAATGGAACTGAATTGCAACAATGAGGGAGACCCCACGACGGAGATTGTGATAAGGAACTGCGGTGAGCTGGATCCAGGAGAAGCCTGGGGCATCGAGTGCAGCGACGAGACCCCGGACAAGCTCCCGCCCTACCCAATGGACTGGACGGGCAAGCTTGATAAGTGCACAGTAAGTTAAGGAAATTGCAATGCTCATTGGATTCGTCACTCACTCCCTCCCCTTGCAGTCGGATGAAGCGGTGGATCTGCTTACGGGCGTTCGCCAATCGGGAAATCACTTCTATAAGCTGGGTCGTTACCACGAAGCTCGTGCCAAATACCGCAAGGCAAATCGTTACTATCACTATCTGAGCAACCAGTTCGGCTGGCAGCCACTGAGAAACCTTAAAAAGACCTCCTCTGACGATGCGAGTATGAGGAAGCTTGAAGCGTTCTTCACTGTTAACAGCATAAACTCGGCCGCTGTTGATCTTAAGTTGGGAAACTATACGAGTGCCAAATACGATTGCTCCGAGGCCATTCGATTGGATCCCCGATGCAGCAAAGCCTTCTACAGGCGGGGCCAGGCACATCGCGCCTTGCGCAACTACGAGGAGGCCATCAACGATCTTAAGAGTGCCCACGCTCTCCTTCCGGAAAACAAGCAGATCCTAAATGAACTGAATGCCACCAAGCAGCTCCTGGCTGAGTACAACCGACAGCAGCGAAAAGCGCTAAAAAATCTATTTGCATAGTTTCGGGAATGTGTGTTTTTGTTGATGGCGCGGCGCTCTTGTGTGTAAATGTAAATACTTATTAATAAATCTTTTTGAGTTACGAGTAACAAAAGTCAGTGGACTTCCACAAACAAATACGAAATCCCATGTTCTTCTTTCGGGAGAGTAAATTATGGATTGCGCTCTTTAATTGATAAATATATATGCATAATTAGATCGTACCTAAAACACATTTGATCGCACACAATAATAATGATCGCTTACGTACATTGTAGTGTCTACAATGCTGCTTACGGGCTAACAGATAAAAAAAAAATAAGTAGCTTAGATATGCTTTATATTTAGTCTACGTATAGTCATATTTAAAGATTTGTCACAATGTCCTGTTCGCTGCGATGCAGATTGCCGGAGGCGCTGCTTGCCGAGTAGCTTTTCATGCTGATCTCCATGTTGGTCAGGGCGCTAGATACGTGATACAAGTTCTCCGAGAGAATTGCATATACCTCGAACAGTTCCGAATCCGATTTGGACACGATAAAGGCTTCTGCTGAAGGAGAGAAAGCAAGTAAGTGTGGTTCATGGAGTTGGTTTTGGATTTCTGAGCATACCCGTGCGGTCCTTCATGATGCCATGCGCATAAGCATTCAATATAACCGACATCTCATCGCATTTTATTCGACTGTCCAGGTTACTATAGCTGAACAGGGTCAGGTTCTGATCTCCGGCAGCGACCAGCGTCGACACCCGCCGATACTGACGCACATGGGCAATGGCACTGGGCCAGCGCTGCAGATCAATGTGCTCGTGCAGAGCCGACTCGAACTCCTCCTGAGTCATGGGCAGGCCGGGCGAGGGAGTTGGCGTGTGCTCGCCCTCCGTGGATGTTGAAGATTCCAGGCAATCCAGCTCGGCTTCGCTGGTGTAACGCACCAGAGCATCGCGAACCAGAGCATAGAGATCGGATATGTCATGCATCTGCAATGAGAATGATTAGAGATTATATTACACCGATCTTCGTTCTTCGTTGGATCTCTCGTTCACTTACGTCTTCGTTGATGCGGAAATGGTTAACCACATTCGAGGATATCTTGTGATTCGACTCAATAAGCAGAAGCAGCTGGAACATCAGCTTGTACAAAGAGCGTCCCAGGTCCAAGACCACCTCGGTGGAGGCTGGATCAAATGGCATGTACGCTATGCTGGAGCAGCTGGGTAGCTCCAAACCGGAAGCAGCCACATCGGATTCGTTGAAGAGCGACAGCTTACAACTGGTCTTCACCGCGTCCAGGCACTGGAATATACAATTTCTCATGAAAATATCTCTATTGGCAAACATTTGATTACTTTACCTCCAAGACCTGGTCTTTGCGGTCGAAGAATGTCTCCAAATGCTCTTGCACTTCCAGCACATTGAAGCGCAGCGTCTCGAACAGCTTTGGGGTAGTCGCTTGCTGCTCGCTGCACCACACCTGGGGAGGATCAGCCCGAGAGCTCAGCAGGTCGGTAAATAGAGAGATACGATTGCCCAGCTGGGAGCCAATGCCCGTAAAGAACTTCTTTGCCTCCTTTGAAATGCTAATCGTCTTGAAGGTTATCTCCTTGACCAGCCTGTAGAGCTGCTGCAGAAGCTCCGAGGTATGAGCCGAGGGCTGGTTTACCAGCATGGCCTGCAACTGTCGCCGCCAGTTTTCCTCCGCCTCATCCCGAATGGCGGCACCGAATCTTATGATCCCCGGTAAATGCGGCGAGGCGTTGCATGGCGTAATGTCGCCAAGGTCCCCGGCGCTGGAGCCACTGGTGTCACTCCGCGAGACCGAGTTGCGACGCCTCCTCTCACGCAGACTGAGGGATGTGGGCGGCACAGCACTGTAGCCGGACTTTAGGAACGACTGGCGATGATCCTCATCCAGGGGGGACTCGGATTCGGCTTCTTCATCGGAGGAATCGTCCGCAGTCTGTCGTTTACGCTTGCTCAGTATCGGTGTCTTGTCACTGAAGCTGTCTTCCAGGGCTGAGGAATGGCCTCCCTTGATGGAGCCGCCGATGCCACTGCCGCAGTTCAGACGGTCCTCATCGCCCTCGAACAACTGATGGCGACGCACGCCCCAGTTGAAGTTGTCCGTGGACTCGCCGGCAATGCTGTCCTCGTACTCGAGGAAGTCAAAGTCCTTGAAGACGGTAAAGTCGGGCTGGCCATCGTCGCGACGCGAGCCGCTGCTCAGATCGCCCTGGGGACCCGAGGTCTCCTCGGTGGAAGAGGCGGCAGACGACTGCCGTTCCATCAGATCCGATGACTGGCTGAAGATGACCTGTGGGACAGTGGTTAGAGTGGCGGAGATTAGTACGACTCTGAGCAATACGGGAGGGTTAAACATTCAGGGATTATAGTAGAGTAGTAGAGTTAAATAGAGATAAAGCTTACGCTTTGTCTGGTGGCAATCGATCCGGTTAGTAGTGACGTGCTTAACGACTAAATGTGTTCCCAGATAAACAAACAGAGTAAACGAAAGGTACAGTTTGAAACAAAACACATGCACAACATGGAAATGAAAATGGCAATGGTATAACGATCAAGCGAATGGCGAATGGCGGTTCGGCAGGCAGTACGAAATAATCGAATCATTGATTGGGAAAAAGCTACTACATGCGATCTTATCGTACATATATCATACACAGAAAAGCAAAAAAACGAGTCGCGGCACAGAGAAACGTGTCCTTTACCTTTGAGCAAATTGAGTTTATGAAATCGTCCTAGGATTGAGTACGAGTATGTTTCGATTTGGTATCGATTTGGTTTGATTGGTTAATGATGATAATGGCGTGTTAATTGGTTTTGGTTTTTGGTTTTTGGTTTGGATTTTGATTTTTGATTTTTGTTTTGTTTTACATGAAAGAAAAAGAGTTAGAAATAAATAATCGCATATGCATGAAGGCCACATCAGAGAGTAGAGTACAGTAGAGAGGGATTAGGATAGCTCTAGGGGAGCCTAAGGCATGCACCTGGCTATGTACAAGCAGCAGCCGAATGCTGAAGCAGCTCCAGCTCCCTTCGAAGCACACACTTACCGATGGCGACTTGGGCAGGCCGACACGCTGGCCACAGGTGGTCAGCAGGTTGACCAGACACTCACGCACGCGACACTGCGACATCCAGGGCCGCTTCCAACCACTCAGGGGCACGGTATCCGCCGGCGACAGGCTTGCACTGCGCCGGGGCGAGTTCGGGGTGCCCACCAGGCTGCTCCCGGCTCCGATCGCATGCTGCTGCTGGTGCTGGGCAGCAGCCGCCGCGGCAATGGCCGCCACATTCGATTGGGCGCGTTGCTGCTGCAGCTGTGCATTGGCCTGCTGCTGTGCACTGGGCGCCACTGTCACTGTTGTGGCATTGGTCAGGGTGGAGTTCAGCGAAGAGCTGCCCGTGGTGGAGGCAGCCCCGACCGGGACGGACTCCTCGCTCTTGAGCAGGATGCGGCGGCCGATGAGTGGCGTTTGCGAGACGTCGAAGGTGAACTCCATGGTGCGACCGGCCAGTTCCTTTTTACAGAACATATCCGAGTCCGGATATGCGCCATAGAAGGAGAACGATAAGCCGGCGCTGCTGCCGTCGCTGGGCGGCACCACTTGCAGCGAGGAGCTGCGCGTCACGATCAGCTTGAGGATCTTCAGCGAGTCCTTCCAGTTGACCGTCTGGGAAAAAACATACAGCAATAATATGAATATTAAGCTCTTGGGAGAACACTTTTCCATGACCGACTTACATCCAAGTACTTTCCGATGGCTCGCAAGAGATCCGCATTGATGGTCTGGGCCTGGGGGGCCGACAGGTCGACGTAGTGCAGCATGCAATGGATGACATTCAAAACGGGCACCTGCACCTGCTGCGGCCCCTTCTCCAGCACCTCGATGAGGAAGGCCACCATGTGGAGGCCCATGTGGGCGTACGTGTCATGCAGATACTTCACCACGCACTTTGTCCACTGGAAGGACTCCTTGCAGAAGGTCTTGCGGCTGTACAGCAACATCACGGTGCCCAGGTTCTCGAGCTTGGCCCCCAACTCCGTCGAAACCTGTGCAATGTTCTCGGCACTGCGTATGCAGATCTCGTTGGCGTCCTCGTAGTGCAACAGCATGTACGGCAGTAGCGCAATGACGTTCATGGGGAAGGCGCAACTCTGGGTCGGATCGCACACGGGCAGGGTAAGCAGTGGTGCGAACTGGGAGAGCAACGTGATCGTCGGCTCGTAGGTGGCACTGTGAGTGCAGCCCTAGAATACAAATATAATTCGATTAGTACTTTTCTAGTTACACCTTTCTACTTTTGAGAAGACGCACCTTCAGGAGCAGCGCATGCACACCCGGATAGGCCGTCCACTTGAGCTGCTGCTGCAGCTTCTCCACCTTGTCCCTCGCATCTGGACGGTCCAGCGGCAGGCGGTGGAGCACTCTGGTCAGCAGGCGCAGAGCCAGCATGAACTCGTGCTCGTAGTCCGACTCCAGCAACGACACCGATAGCCAAAAGAGCTGCGCCAATATCGTCATTTTGTCGTCTTGCGTGGCCGTGTCGCCCAGCATCTTCAGGCTCTGGGCGCTACGGGATCGCGACAGGGCCGAGCCTGCGCCCATTCCCATTCCCACTCCGCCGACTCCGAACTTGCAGACAACGCTGCGCTCGAGGTCGATGCCGGAGGCGCGGTTCCTGAGCTCCACCTGCTTGTCGCAAGGCGAGTTGTTGGCCTTGCGACCGCAGTAGGAGACCGAGTAGCTGGTGCTGCGTCCATGGCTGGGGATCGAGTAGTTGGACGACTGAGGCGTCATGCCCGAGGGCGATTTCTTGCCGGGCAGGATGGAATTAGGACCGCCGTCCTTGTTGTTCAGATTGGGTGTGCTCTTGAAGATGTCCTTCATCACATCCAACGGCCGGAAGTCCGAGTCGAGGCTATCCACGGCCGCTTCCAGAGTGAGCAAAAGCTCCGTTACATAACCCTGCATGTCCTCGCCCTGCTCGGCCACCGTCTCCACCAGCCTGGAGAGTATTTCCGACAGCATGCGCGAGTTGATCGGCACATTCAGGGCCCGGAATATCTGCAGGCAACGACCGGCATAGTGGCGCGAGGAGCACGAGAGTCCCAGCTGCAGGGCGGTCTGTGCCCAGCGTTCGGGGATGCGAGCCTGTGGATAGCTGTCCGCGAACACCTTCACCATGTGCTTGAGGAAGCAGCTCAGCTGCTCCGCTGACTTCACGGCCCACACCTTGGCGGTGATGTCCTCGTAGTTCCACAGCGGCTGGCACGTGTCCTGCGCAAGGAACTTCAGCAGGCTCTTGATAACGTGGGCTATGGGCATGCTCGGGCCGGGCTGGGGCGGTGCATGCTCGTCCGCGTGGATGAGCGGCACCTCCGAGTTCTCCGAATTGTTCGGGTTGATTTGCAGGGCGGCAGGCGTGGCTGCCAGACCCGAGGGCGTGGCATTGGCGCTTGTCTGGCAGCCAGATGCCTGCTGTACGTTATGCGGTGTTTGTGGCAGATTCTGCTGATTGGAGCTGGAGTGCGCCGCAATGATGGTGGAGCTTGACAGATTGTGCTGCAGGGCATATGCCGCTGCCTGGGGGCTCACGTGCAGCAGATAGCTGTCGAACTGCTGGTGCAGCTCAGTGAAATTGTTGTCGATCACGGGCAGGGCGGGCACGGTCAGGCCCAGGTCCAGCTTGCTCGTCTCGCTGTTCAGCAGGATGCGGGCCACGGTCAGGTGATCGTTGTGCTCGGCCAGCACGATCAGCAGGTTAACGCACAGCTGCTTGCAGTGCTCCCGCACTATGATGCGCGTGTGGTCCAGGCCCAGGAACAAAATGTGCAGCATCAGTGGCAGGTGCAGCGTCCAATCGATGCCCGGAATCCCATCTACCACAATGTCTGTGAGCAGCATCACGGCCACGTTGCATCTGCAAATGAGAGGAAGATGGTGATTATATGGGACTCTGAGTTTCTAAAGAGTTTCTTCCATTAATTACGTTTACAGAATGCCATTAGGAGCCATTAGGGGTCAAAGATACTGATATCTTGCGGTGTCAGCTTCTATCGCTAATTACCCCCCAGCCGAAGTACTTCCCAGACAGAATACACCATGTTAAGAGAACCCTTACCCAAATCGTATATAAGTTGGGAGCCAGCCCAGTGGATATCCAAGTTCCTGTGCAATCATGAAACTATCGTTGGCAATTTTGTTTTTGGCTTCTGCCTTGGCATTCGCTAAAGGCAATCGTACTGAGGATCTAAGCCCGGATAACGTGATCGTCAATGGCTATCCAGCCTACGAAGGCAAGGCTCCGTACATTGTTGGCCTCTTCCTGTTCACGGACGGCAGCAACAGCGCAGCCGTCGGGGCAGGCAGCGTGATATCCCATAACTGGGTCCTGACCGCGGCCCACTGCCTCACCACGGACTCGGTGGACATCCACTACGGATCGAATCGGGGCTGGAACGGCCTGTACAAGCACCACGTCAGGAAGGAGAACTTCATCCGTCATCCAGGCTTTGGCAACTCGGCTGGCCACGACATCGGCCTCATCCGCACTCCGTATGTGGAGTACACCAACGTTGTCAACCGGATCCCCCTTCCGAAGTTTGGACAAAAGGGAGAACGCTTCGTGAACTGGTGGACCGTCCTTTGCGGCTGGGGTGGCATGGCCAATGGCAATCTCGCTGACTGGCTGCAGTGCATGGACGTGCAGATCATCAGCAACGACGAGTGTGCCAGGAGCTACGGCTCTGTGGCCAGCACCGACATGTGCACCAGGCTGTCGGATGGCAAGAGTGCCTGCGGTGGTGACTCTGGCGGCCCTCTGGTCACACACGACAATCCCACCCAGGTGGGCGTTATAACCTTCGCCTCCGGCAACTGTAAGAGTGGACCTTCCGGCTACACCCGTGTCACCGATCACTTGGACTGGATACGCGAAAAATCCGGAGTGGCCTATTACTAACTTTGGTCATAGCTGCTCGACGAAACATGCTTTCCTTTCTTTTTTTTTCTTTTCTTTCAATATATAAATAAATATTTTTTTCGGTGTAATTGACACCGCGAGCATTCAAAAACAGTACGTAACTTTGACGGTTCATTGGGCTCTGGTGCACTATGATGGATCCATGATTCGTACACGCTTACAACATGGCACACAAATTCGTTCGGACAGCGGTTGAACATATCAAAATAGTTTGTTCAAGTGCTTACATATTGTATATCGACTTATGCTCAAGACACACACAATCAGCAAATATATTTCATTTCTTCATTCACTTTCATTCACCGATCGCCAAAAATCTTTCCATAGATGTCCATGGTGATAACGATTTTGGACGACCACACCGGAAAAAGCGAAAGTAAACCAATTCTCGAGCATTTAAATGTATAGTGAAGAGTCTCTATGGTGCTTATAGTGCTTATCGGCATATAATAATCAATCAATTCTAAGTACTAGTGACTAACTAATAAAACTTTGCTTCGTGTACTTCAAAAGAGGCCACACTGGTCCCAGTAAAAACCCTACATTATTAAATAAAATAAAATAAGTAAACAAATAACGTTATCTGCACAGATAAGAGGCAAAATACTTATTGCCTCTGGTAGCAGCTATCAAATGGTATATAAGATCGCACCCAACCCCCTGGAGATCTAAGTTCCAGCATAACCATGAGGCTATCGTGCGCAATTCTACTATTGGCCTCCGCCTTGGCTTTTGCTAGTGGAAGTCCCACTTTCAATCGTACCGAACGATCTGATCGAATTGTCAATGGCTATCCAGCCTACGAAGGCAAGGCTCCCTACATCGTTGGCCTCTTCTTGCTCACCGACGGCAGCAACAGCGCAGCCGTCGGGGCTGGCACCATAATATCCAACACTTGGGTTCTGACGGCGGCCCACTGCCTCACCACGGACTCCGTGGACATCAACTACGGCTCAAACTGGGCCTGGAACGGTCTGTACAAGCACAACGTTAGGAGGGAGAACTTTATCCTTCATCCGGGCTTTGGCAACTCGGCTGGCCACGACATCGGCCTCATCCGCACTCCCTATGTGGAGTTCACCAATGTGGTCAGCAACATTCCTCTCCCGAAGTTCGACCAACAGGGAGATCGCTTCGAGGGCTGGTGGTGCGTCGCCTGCGGCTGGGGAGGCATGGACAATGGCAATCTAGCGGAGTGGCTCCAGTGCATCGACGTGCAGATCATCAGCAACAATGAGTGTGCCCAATCCTATGGCTCTGTGGCCAGCAGTGACATGTGCACAAGACAGTCGGACGGACGGTCCGTCTGCGGTGGCGACTCTGGTGGCCCTCTGGTCACGCAGGACAGCCCAATGCTGGTGGGCGTGATAACCTTTGCCTCCACCTCCTGCAAGAATGGACCTTCCGGCTACACCCGTGTCACCGATCACCTGGAATGGATTCGCGATAACTCAGGAGTGGCCTATTACTAACTTTGATCATCTGTTCTTGTAATAATTTACCACGTCTCTGTGTGGCTATACTAAAATAATGAGTATTTCGAAAGGCCTGCCAGTTCGTTACATAGACCACTTTTTTCTTTGATTGATAAACTGAATCATTGATGCGTTGTTTCTTAAGGCGTATGTAAGCACCAATCAGTTCTTAGCCATTGAAATGGATGGGGCAGAATATTACACATATTTCTCGGTAGACAATTCCAATTAATGACTTATCGAGTAGCCCCCATACTTCGAGGGGCCACGCGCCTGCAAAATATTCCCTATTCGTTCTACCTTGGTAACAAGAAAACAGAAGACCTGTCTGCTACCGCTACTGTGATTAGAGACTCACCGATGGAATCCGCTGATGGGTAGACTGACATCCGGCAAGAATTCGGTGAGTGGTGCAAAGTATCCCCCATATTCGGGCATGGGCAGCGGGTGTGGATGGGCATTTGTTGGCGCATCCGAGGTACCGCGCAGCTCCACATTCTCCTCCTGTCGCAGTTCCGGGTCGTTGATCAGTATGTCCTCCGGTCGGGGCAGTATAGACGGACCAGAGGCGGCCCGTATCTTGTCTGCACCGCGCGGCGGGCGACTTCCACCAGAACCGGGCGTGACTGCAGCGGCGGCTGCGGCAGCTGCAGCTTGGGTATAGGCTCGAATGCCGCTGTCCGACTTGCAGGTTCTGCGGGTGGGATGAACATTAGTTGGAGAGCCTTAAAGGAGATAATATCTCTCAGAAACTTGCCCAATTTTAATGGGATCCTCGCCGCTGTGGCGTTTGGTGTGTATGGTGCCCTTTTCGACTGCCAAATCTTGAATCCGGGAGTCATTGATACCGCCCACAGCTTGGCCTGCCAATCGTAAATGGAATAAATGTTAATATTGAGATAGAGAGAGAGAGAGAGCTGATTTCTAGAGCTACCATCGGCACTGTGACTGGAGGCCTTCCGCATGCTGGTCAGTCGATAGAAGGGAGGCGTCTCCGTACGCTCAATCAGACAGTTCAGAGTCTCCACAGTCTGCAGCTCGGCCATGAGCTCGTCCAGCAGTCGATCCGGACAACTCCGAGCGAGATAGAGAGCCACTCGCTTGGCCTGGTAACAGAAGACGAAGATAAGCGTCTTCTCTTTTTCAAAACCAATCTTACAGAATATCTTACATAGGGCAGCAGCTCGGTGGGGGCCATGCCGCTCATGATGACCAGATAGCGCAGGATGACCTTCAGGTTGTTGGGCCAGAACTGACACAAGGTGCCCCATAGCTCCTCAATGTCGCGCGGATGGGCATCGGAGAACTGCAATCCCAACGCGGAAGATTAAAAGCGATTAAAGATTGAAAGCGACAACGAAAAGAGTCCGTCCTACCTTGGCGGTGATGTAAAAGAGATTATTCAGAATCATTTCCGTTGCCTCTGTGGAGCCAGTGCCCTCGCGGCGGCCTCGTGTGCCCGAATCCGGAAAGTACTGCCGGAAGAGAGCAGGAAACGAACGTTAGAATCGAGTCGGAGAGCCTTTCGGAAGGAAGCAATTTCGTGCTTCCACTCGCTTACCATAATGTAGGAGAGCGGCGTGGCTGGTGGCACACTCGTGGCCACCAGCTCCATGTTCTGCAACCAGGGCAGCAGGCACTGCAGCAGCAGGGCGCGCACATCCTCGCGGGCACTCTGAAACCGATGGGTTATTTCTGCAAGCGCCAACCCAGAAACAAATACAAAACAACGATTCAAGTCTTTGCTGGAGGAACAGGAGGGGGCGTAGGCAGCCACATGCACTCACCCGATAAGATGGACATGGTGAGCTCTGGCCGGAGCTGGGCCAGCTGCTTGGAGAGGAATCGCTGCGACCGGCAGTAGGCGCTGCTCAGGAGCACATCCAGAGTTCCCACCTTGTCGTCTTCTGCAATCAAACAGGAGAAGAGAAAAGTTAGATGAGGGAAACAAATACGATGGGAAAAAGCCCAACCCAAGCCCATGGCGAAGCTCTGGACACGACCAACGTCCACAGGCGACTGTGGCCAGCTCCCAGCTTTTTCCCCCACTTGGCAGCACATGGTCTTGGCAGCATTCCAGTGCTGCCGCAAAAGCTTTCCCCACAAGCCAAAGCCGGCAACATGAATGGCGGCTTGCTATTGTCTGGTTTCCCGCCCGGCAAGGGGCCCCACAAGATGCTCCTTGTCTTGCCGCCAAAATGGCGTTCGCCTGCTAACAATGCTGCTGGGCTAATCCCCCAGCGAGGTGCCCGGACACTTGTTGGCATTCCTGCCAGCCCTGACCTTGTAACCTGTTGAATTTATGAATGAAAGCCAGCCACTGCGTCGGCGCCGACAGCAGCAGCACAGCAGCAGCGGCGGCACCAGGAAAAGAGCTTTCGTTTGGCGCCTTCCAACGGGGCGGCCCCTGTCAGACGTCAGGAGTCGTTTATAAGGCCGCCGTTGCCATTGTCTCGGCTTAGTTGCGCACTCATTGTCCTGCTGGCTGGTCGAATTGGCCAGAAGGGAAACCAGATCCAGTCAAAGACTCAGAGTCAGAGCCAGAGACAGAGCCGGAACCAGAGCTCAAAACTCCAGTCGAAGAAGTCCATAGTCCATCCTCTTATCCAATAAAATATCCCCCTCACATTTAATTCCACGAATCCCTACTTTATCCAGCCACAAGTAAAAACTTTAATCAAAAAGTTTTGGCATTCGAAAAAATTAAAATTCAAATTAAAAATAAAAATAAAACTAGACCGGCAAAGAGCCAGCGGCGGGCCAACAGATCAGCAGACGAGCGGAAGTTTTCCGGGAAAAACTTTGAATATGTGGCAAAAGTTTTGAAGTCCACCTGAAAATATACTTTGTTGTGCTTTTGTTTACTTCATTACGGAATTCGCGCGAAAGATTTCCCGCTGATAATGAGCTTGGGGGGGAAAAACTAAGTGCACGGCAATCGAAAGTTCGAATAACTTTTTTTTTTTTGGGTGGAAGCAAGCTACAGCAGTGTACTCTATGCCAAAGAATGGAATCTCTAGAATACGAATCTCAAGTGCAGGAAACACTCAATTAAAGCACTTGGTGGCGTGTGTGGTCGGAACTCTTAATTGTTTGGCTTGACAAGAAAAGGCGAAAAGGTGGCGGAGTGGAATGGCAAGACCACAAATTAGTTTGCCAAAAAAAGCCAATTATCGCCTGCCAGAGAGAGAGAGAGAGAGGAAGAGACAAATGTTTTTGTTTAAGTTTGAGCGAAAAGTGTAAGTGAGAAATGCAATTAATTAGTTGTATCTCTGAATAAACAACAACAACAAAATCCACAAGAGACCGAAGAGAACTCTCTCAAAGACCGAAAACACAGTGCGAAATGGTTTAAAGATACAGATCAAAACATTGGCAGCATTATCTAGCACCATGGACATGGATTATATGGAGGCCATAGCCAGCAGCAGCAGCGGCGGTGGCGGAGGCGGCGGCAGTGGCAGTGGCAGCAACATATCAACCTCAGAAGCCACAACAGCCTTCAGCGATGGCAACGCAACGGCGGAAAACGGCGGGAACGCAAGCTTGGCCGTCGGCACAACGCCCGACTCCACGGATTACATGTCCGGCGATGATGAGGAGATGCTGCGCATCGCCTTCTTCATCGGGGACTTTGTGCACCAGTACTACATTCCGATACTCTGCTGCACGGGCAGCATCGGCAACATCCTCTCCGTGTTTGTCTTCTTCAAGACGAAGCTACGGAAGCTATCGTCGAGCTTCTACCTGGCGGCGCTGGCCGTGAGCGACACCTGCTTTCTGGGCGGGCTCTTTGCCCAGTGGCTGAACTTCCTCAATGTGGACATCTACAACAAGAACTACTTCTGCCAGTTCTTCACGTTCTTCAGCTACCTGGCCAGCTTCTGTTCGGTGTGGTTTGTGGTGGCCTTCACCGTGGAGCGCTTCATAGCGGTCATCTATCCATTGAAGCGCCAGACCATGTGCACTGTCCGGCGGGCGAAGATAGTGCTCGCGTGCCTGACTCTGGCCGGATGTCTGCACTGTCTGCCCTACATCCTGATTGCCAAGCCCGTCTTTATACCCAAGTTAAATGCCACTATTTGTGATCTCAACACGGAATATAAAGTGAGTATCGTATCCCAACATCCGCACAAGCATACGCATACGTATACGCACCGGTGTACGGTCGTGGGGGAAACACTTTTTGCGTTTGATGTAGTATACTAAACATATATAATGTTTTTCTGGTTGATGCAGACGTCTTTCTGTCACACATCAAAATCCAACTTCATCAAACGCATTCTTCCGGTGCCTAGAATTTTTCATTTGGGCTGCCATTGGTAACGCCACTCTTTGAGCGAGCGAGAGGTGCGTTTGCGGGCCACCCATACTTACAATGTATGGATGGATGAATGGATGGGTTCCTGGTATTCGTGAATTTTTGCTCTGCCATTAGTATTGTTATTGGAATTTGCCATGCATTGAGTATGGGTAAGGCGCAGAATGTGTTTTCGTTTGTGCACAAATAAATGGCCTACCGAATTGTTTGCAAAATTTCTCAAAATTAGAATCAAAGCATATCCATTGGCTGGCTGGGAGGAGGAAATGGGGACCAGTAACCCTTCTGTCATCGCCATTTACTCCAGCTGTACCTTTGAACCGCTTATATCGTTCGAGTCCCTCGTTACTTTCGCTTCCCATGGCACTGACACTCTCGTCAATTAACCCGGGTCCAGTCCCAATCCCAAGCCCAATAAATGTCGTTAAGATATGCGGCTCACGCTTCCCCCCACCGTCAGGAGACTAAGGAGACGATAATTTGGAGAGAACTGGAGCAATTAGTCAATTAGTGGGTCGAATACATATACCGCTGCGTGGGCTGTGTTGTGCGGACAAATTAACCATTTATTAGCGGAAGAAAAGGCCGCCACAAATTATCCCCCGAATATGTGTCACCCAGACAGCGTCACCAACAGCAAGTCAAAAATGCCAAAAGGCCAACACAATAAAGAGACTGGCGACTGCACAGTACCCTCTTCTACAAGCTCCCCCAAAGTCGAACAGAAACTGAAAGCTGAAAAATAATTTCAACAACAAAGAACCATCTTTAT